CTACCTGTTAGAAAACGATATATATTTTGAAGAAAGTTATTTAAAAAATGAACTGTTAGAAGTGTTAAAATCATTTTCTATTAAAAAAGTATATGTTGTGACGCATTGCCGAGGACATGGACATACAGTGTTACGGCTTCCGCCCTACTATTGTTTATTTAATCCCATAGAGCATATGTGGCACCAACTAAAGTCAAATGTTAGGTCACAAAATGTTTCTCCGACTTTAAGTGGTAGTGTAGTCGAATTAATAAGGAAATGTGTTGATGATATCTCCCCAGAAAGTTGGAAAAATTCAGTACGCCATGTAATGAACGTAGAAAATTCATATGTTACTTTGAATCACATAATTAAACCAATTGTTATTAATCTTGAAGAGGATAGCGACAGCGAAACAGAATTAGGTATTTAGGAATTCATAAATATATTTTGGTTATTTTGGGTATTTTTTTTTGTAAATATTAACTTGTATATATTTTTCTATATTTTTTTTTCAATTCATCTATTTTTTGTACATTATGTATTCGTTTGTATGTATATACTGTAAATAGAACTATTATTACTGTACATTTTTAACGATATCCGATTAGGAAGAGCAAAAACTTTTAAACGCGCCAGTTTTTTGCTGACAGTCCTAAGCCTGTAAAAAGTGTGAAGGAAAGTACCTTTCTGAATTTAGATCCATATACTACAATTATTCACGTAGAACAAAAAACTACTTTCTTCATGTTAAAAATTGTTCAATTATCAAGTATATTCACTTGAACAACCTGAAAATACCATATGAAATAATTTAATAAATTTTTATAATCGTGTATTACACAGCTACCAATGAAATATATTAAATAACAAACTTTCTGAAGTGCGACCCTGTGTACTTCGGTAGTTTATTGAGAGACTCTTGTATACACAATAGGATCAACTCAGGTAACCATTAAGCACTCAACCATTTTTCGTGAAACAAACTTTACCTACGAACGAAAGTGATTAGTTATGTTTCATTCTTGTATTGTACATTTGTGCGGACACTCGATATTTGCAGTTATTCGCCACTTGTTACTTAAAAAAAAATTCTACTTTTGTTGTCCAGCAATCAATCGGTGGTTGAAGACTGGATGCTTCAGAAAAATAGTTATAATACCACTGGCAGTCACTCCAGTAGAGACAGTGGCTTCAACACCGAACAGGTATGTGTATTATGCAAAAGAGAGAAGATGAATTTTCGCTTTATCTGACAACATTTTAAATTCGTCTTTGAGATGACACCAAAAATCTACTAGCTATTTATTTTTAAAATGTTTTTTTTTTATCGCCGAATCCGATGTCAATTATATCAGCCATTAATACTGTTGAGATGTTAAGGAAGCTGGTTTTTTTAACATTGCAAGGTATGGATCTGCAACCCAGAAGTTAACTGTTTTGAATGGTAGGTTATAGTTTTTTGTACATGTGTCAGTTCGCCTTGCTTCCTTCTGAAGAAATCAATGGGTTTTCCGTTACATTCTGCATGCACCTTTTCAAAATGATGACGCAATTTAGCTGGAATCATTGAACTGTTTGGCAACACTTTGCAGGAAATTACGCACTGTGGTTTGTTGTCACCGGTCTCAGCGAATCCAATTTCTAAGCAGGAATCATTGTATTTCCTTGTTACCGATTTTAATTCAATGTGAATTAATCGATATTTCGAAAGAACTGTTAAATCATTTTTTTAAGAGAAAAAGTGCCTGAAATGCTTTTTCATCACTTTCGTTTTGTAGACAGAAGGTTTGTAAGGTATCGAATGAGGATCTTGCTTCCTTAACTGACATATCTGCCAAATATTCTGATATTAATTACGATTTAACTGGGAATAAGCCACAATTAAAGATCATCATCATCCAGCCGAATTTTCACATCCATTGTTGGATATAGGCCTCCTCCAAACGTCTCCAGTTCTCTCTATCTCTAGCTGCTGCAATCCAGTTTGTTTCTATTCTCCTTAGGTCGTCGGTCCATCGGTGGGTGGTCTGCCTCGACTTCGCTTGTCGGCTCTTGGTCTCCAGTCCAATAATCTCTTCCATCTATTTAAAATAAATTAAATAAATTCAACATTTCAACAACATTCAAAACAACAAACATGTTGAGATCTATTTTGTCCAAAACCAAACCTAACAATGAACAAGAAAGGACAAAGAATTGCATTTATAAAATACCTTGTGAATGCGATCAGTTTTATTTAGATGAAACATCAAGGCCATTAAATGTTAGAATAAGTGAACATCAATCTTATATTAAAAACAGAGAATTTGATAGATCTCAAATATGTAAACACGCATGAGATAATGAACATAGGGTTCAATGGAATAATTCAAATGTAGTCCTAAAAGAAACGGATGGTAAAAAAAGAAAAATCAAAGAAGCGGCTCTAATTATGCTAAATGAGGCCAATTGTGTCGCAAATTCCTCGGCAGAATGTAGTAGGATCTGGTTACCAATATTGAAAGAGGAAGTTATTAATAAAAAAATACCAGTATTAGTAAGTCAGTAACATAATTATAAAGGATGCATCATTTATGTAAACTAAATGCACGAAAAAATACTTACCATGTCGGGATAGTATTATGAGGTTTTTTTTTCCTGATTTTTTCATCATAATTTACTATGGAATCACTAACAGGAGAATTTTTACTGTCATCATGTCATGTGTTTGGCTTTTTAAAGACGAATTATATGCTATGATTTTTTTCTGACGGATATTCTCAAGTTAAAGTTGATTTCATGTAATCGAATGAACTATCTTATAAGTAAAGTCGTCCCAGGAGCGCAACTCAACAATATTGGCAATATCATTTTAAAGTCGTCTACTTTAAAATGCATAATGTATGTCTGAATTGTCAATATAAATGAGTCAGATAAAACTAAATTATTAGAAGAATTTTTCACTATGTAACAAAAAACAAAATTTGTTTAATTTACTGTTTGTATTTTGAGAACGATTTCCGAAGTGGAAATTGAAACGTCAATAAACGTATTTTTATCTTTAATTGTGGCTTATTCCCAGTTAAATAGTAATTAATTTAAAATGCCACAAGAAAATAGCTTCAGAAAAATATTCTGATGTATCGTACTCATCTTCATCGTTACTTTTTTCATTCGTATCTGTCGCAGATAAAATTTCGCCATCGGTTAGCGAAACTGAGACAGCAACATCTTCATCCACTTAGACAAAGTCAGAAAAACTCACACCGCTGATGTCAACTAATGGTTCTATTGCTGGTTCTTCATCATCCATAAGTATAGGAAGATTTTCCTGATCTTCTTTTAAGAAACCGGATTTTTTGAAGCAGTTGAGAATTGTTAGGGGTATTACACCTCTCCATGGCTTGTCAATCACTAAACTAGCTGTCGTAACCGTGATATTTGCAGTTAACTGCTTATCGAGATATTCTAAAACTAGCTTAACAATTTCTTTGTGATAGAACGTCTTAAAATTAAGGATGATCCCTTGGACCAATGGTTGCAATTTGGAAGTTGTATTTGGCGGAAAGAAGTAGAGTTCCACGTTGGACAATGTAGGAGGATTGTTGTGAAGAGTGCAATTGTCTAAAAATAGTAACATTTTCCGCTTTTGCCGTTTCATGTCCTCATTAACTGTTAAAATCCAATTGTTAAAAAGTTCTGTCGTCATCCAAGCTTTTCTGTTAGCACAATAACCCATAGGAAAAGATTTCACACCTTTGAAACATCGCGGTTTCATTGCTTTTCCTATCACTAAGGGTTTAAGCTTTTCCTATCCGTCCATATTTACGGCAAGTAAAACCGTCAACCTCTCTTTAATATGTTTTCCTCCATGACATTTTTTATCTTTAAAAGAAAGCGTCTTGTTCGGTAAACATTTAAAAAATAGGCCAGTTTTCAATAAGGTCTTCAGTTTACCACGCCAATCTAAGCCAACCGCGTCATCAACACTTCCACTTTCCCCACAAACTTTTTTAAACACAACTCCATTTCTCTTTTTGAAATTTGTAAGTCACCCTTCACTTGCCGCAAAGTTTTCAATGCTTAGAGTAGACGCGAACTCTTTTGCTTTTTCCTTCAACAAGTTTCCGCTAATAGACACTTTTTGTCCTCTACACTGCCTTAGCCAAATGACCAGACTTTCTTCCAAACGAGGAAATTCACCTGTAGTATTTCTTTTCCGTACTCCAACAATTTGAGCGGCATTAATTTTCTCCTTGTGCTTTATTATGGTTGAGAGAGTACTCAGAGGAATTTAAATTCTTTTGCAACACCAATTTTCTTCTCATCTTTCTCTACTTTTTGGATTAACTTCTTCTTTTTATCAATCTTCAAACATTTATACTTTCTAGGGCTCATGACTAACAAAATTTTAAATTGTATACCAACTAAAGTAGTAACAGTAACTAATAACTGAACAAACCAATTTGTGAGAAGTGTATGTCAAATATGTAGTCAAATTAATCATAACAAAAACAAACGCATGTTGATATTTCCGCCTCTTTCTCTCTGCAACTTTGAATTGCCGAGTGTTGGACGTCGATGAGTTCGAATTAACGCGTCGTTTTGTTATATACTAGCAATGATTTGTTTCGTTCGAATTACCAAGTGCATAAAAATGTATTGATTTAGTTCGAAATGCAAAGAGGTTTTGTAGGAAACTCGTGATAACTTTGAATTATAGAAGTTTGAATTATCGCCGGTTTGAATTAACGCGAGTCAACTGTAAAAATAATGTACAAAACGAATAGCGATTTTCATATGGAAATTTGTATTTCCGTTTAAACCTTATTTTCGGAAACAGGATTTTTTCCTTCTGATAACAACTACTGTAATAGTTTGAATCAATTATAAGTGCGTGTTCCTTCTCCACCTATATCTACACGCACATCTACATTCCATTTATCAGTCAACTTTAAAACAAATAATATTAGTCAGTATTTTATAACAGAAACAATAAAAAATATCAGTGAATATATTTTTAGTTTTATCGCACTTACCCCAAAGCAGCAAATTATCAGCCTTAAAGGAAACAAGAAGAAATATCTTATGAAGAATCCACCGAGCCAAAGAAATGTAAGTTTCCATGATATGAATTCATAACCACGATTTGTGCGTATCAACAAATTCCAATTCTTCAATTCTTCGGCTTCGAATCTCGAAGTGACTTGATCCTCAATTATTGCTTCTACTCCAGCCTTAACATACTCGAATACGTTAGAAAGCACAAAATCCTTGTATTTTTCCTGAAAAATAAAAGTGAAGAAATAAAGATCTTAACTTTATCTGATTTAGAATAAAACAAATTGTTTTATAATAATTTAATATTGGAGCGTATGCTTTCGTAGACGTTTTTTATAATGGTACATTATATTCGGGATAAAACATAAAAAATTGCCTTGGCCCCCGTTAGCCGCTCCAGGAATTGGAAGGGCTTAAGAAAAATTAATATGTGTAGACATAATTGTATTGTATTCTAAACATTTCTTCCTTATTCACTGACAAGTAGGAAACAATTAAAATTAAATATTATTGGATTCTTAAGATGGCAGCACAAACATATTCGATTTATGATAAAATTTACTACTTTCTCTTATGGTATTTTAACAATATAACAACCAATGTATAATAATGGAGACCTAATGCTAATTTTACTTTGACGGTATACAAGGCAACTATCGAACACGGTGATTAATTTAATCTTGCCCAAGTACTTTCGATCAATAGATCATCTTCAGGGGCATTTCGTCAATTGTGGCCTATCCGACATGAGTAGAATGTCATAAATATAAATTTGGACATAACAATACAAAATACAATACACAAAGACAAACACTTTAAAATTTTGAAAAGGATAAGCTACATGTTGTATAGAAGCCGGAGACAGAATTCTTCTGTCTCCGGTTTTATATACAACATGTAGCTTCTCCTTTTCAAAAAAAAAATTTTAAAGTGTTTGTCTTTGTGTGTTGTATTTTGTATTATTATGTCCAAATTTATATTTATGACATTCTACTCATGTCGGATAGGCCACAACTGACGAAATGCCCCTGAAGATGATCTATTGATCGAAAGTACTTGGCAAGATTAAATTAATCACCCTTGATAGGTAGTTCGATAGTTGCCTTGTATACCGTCAAAGTTTAATTATTCGAACATTCAACCTTATATTGATTTAGAATGCTAATTGTTCAACAATAACATCAGTCGAATAACTATAAAACGACACTTAAAATAATTTAATTGTTGGGGCTTCGACTAGTTCTGTCTCAGGTGTACTTACTCGATCGCTGGTAAGGGAAAGGAAAAGGACGTTGGATTCTGATCAGTACTCAGAGACTCAGGGTAGAAGCTCTTCTTCTTCTTGTGCCCTGCTAGATTATCGTGCGTAGGCTATCAGATTGGCTATACTAATTTTGTTGACGGCAGCTCGGAAAAGGGATGCAGAGGCTCTGTTAAACCATTCTCTCAGGTTTTTAAGCCATAGAAGCTCTTACCACATCAATACTCCGGAATGAACTTAGTTCTCTGTCGGTTGTTCACCGCGTTTTATAATTTTGCCGGTGTTCCATCTCCAGAGCGCTTCGATAGTAGTGGTAGGTTGTTGATGGGAATATGGGTACACAGAGTTAGGGTCATTTGTTATCAAGCGCTAACGGCGACATTGTTACAATAATTTGTACATAACTTTTTTATTATCTAGGAAACAAAATATTTTCGTATTTTTTCTGTTCTGATGTATTCGGAAACCAAATTAAAATATTTGCGTATATTTTGATAATAAAGGAAATTTTTTACCAATAAGTTTTACAATATACGTTTGTAATATAAAAAGTGTTTTGTTTTTCGGCTACAAGTAAAGTGTAGTAAATAATTACAATAATAAAATATGTATTAAGTTTAACAATCTAGGTAAGGTTATTTTACTGATTTTTTCATACCAAAAATACACGCTCTACTGCCGGTTGTTCCGTAATATCTAAGAACAAAATAATTTTGGATAAAAAGTTTTATTTTTATGTATTTTTAGTTGGAAGGGATTGATAAGGTTAGGTTTCTGAACCGCTGGCCGGCTCATGCCTGTACTAATAAAGCAAAATGACAGGCAGCGATGATTATAGACAGCGTCAAATACTTATAAAATGAAAGTTAAAGAAATAGCATCGTCGTAACAGGTCTAAAAATATTTAAAACTATTATATGGCATTGACAGTTAATACATAATATGTTAGTAAACTTACTAGTTGTTTACTCTGTTTTTACTGTTCACTGATTTACTTTTTTTATTTATTTGTTGATAAAAAATCCCAAAATCTTGATGGATATATACATATACACACGGGAGTAAATAAGGAAGAACATGCCAAAAGAGGAATATCAATACTTATATTGAAGAAATACAAAAAGAATATATCGAACTGGCAAGCAATAAATGAAAGAATCATAAAGATCAACCTCAACTTGAAAGGATTAAAAATAACAATAATAGGCACATACGGTCCGAATGATGATGCACGCCTAGAAGAAAAAATAAAATACTATGAAGTCCTAGATGAAACTATCTCTCAAATAGGTCAAACAAGGGAAACTATTATACTAGGTGACCTCAACGCAAGAACTGGTAGAAGAATAAAAGATAAAACAATAGGACCATATGGAGAAAACACTACAAACGATAATGGCAATAACTGAATAGAAATGTGTAGACACAACTCACTAAGGATCATGAATGGGTATTTCAAACATAAGGAAATACATACATATACATGGACTCAGCCTACAAGAAACTTAAGATCAGTAATTGATTACCTAATAATGAAACAAAAATCTAAAATAAAAGTGCATGACGTAAGAGTATTTCGAGGAGCCGAATGTGGAAGTGACCACCATCTAGTAAAAGCTAAAATGATACTACCACTAAGCGGAAACGGTAAACACCAACAAAACAAAAATCAAATGAAAATCACTCAGCAGAAGGTGAACAACTGCAGTATAATCTAACAAGTTTAGACAACGATAGTACTAGAGAATTGTATAAAAAAAGATTAGAGCAACAACTACCACAGGAATTTAAACATAAAACAACAGAAGAGTTACATAGCATAATAAGAAAAGGAATACATCAAGCGGCCAAAGAAGCATTAGGAATAAGAGTAAACAAACTCAGAAAGACAAATAATTGGTGGAATGATGAACTACAGGAAATGAAAGATCAAAAGCAAAAATTATATCACAGATGGCTGGGAACAAAGGATCAAGAACACAAAAGAGAATATAGAGAAATGGTAAATAAATTTAAATCCACGATAATAGAGTCAAAAAATCAAAGCTGGGAGAGAAAATGTCAGGAATTAGATACGTATATTGGCGCCGCAAATCAAGAAGAATCCTGGAGATTTATAAAAAACATCAGATCCAACAGAACAGAACAAATAGCCATACACTCCATAGAGCCCGAAAAATGGGAAAAACACTATAAAACACTGTTAGTAGAAGAAAGACCGGAATTCAAAAACATAGAACAACATGAAATCCTGATTCAAGGAGAGCCTCCAACAATTAACATCGAAGAAACTAAAAAAGCTATATCATTGTTGAAAAATGGACGTGCTCCGGGCCCAGAGGGGATATATGCAGAGTTAATAAAAAATGGAACCAACAAACTATTCGAGATACTAACAGAAGTTTTCAATAGGCACTTGCACGGAGAACCAGTGCCACAAAGTTGGAAAGAAGGATGGATTACATCTATCCATAAAAAAGGAAATAAGGAAGATTGCAATAACTATCGGGGTATAACTGTTACGAGTACGCTTAGCAGATTATATGGGAGAATTATAAAAGAACGCATATGCGAAGAATACCGTCCTTTTGAATCAGAAGAACAAAACGGATTCAGAGCGGGACGATCCACAATAGATAGTATTTTTTGCTTATCCCAAATACTCGAGAAAAGAACACTGAGATCTCGAGAAGTGCATTTACTTTTAGTCGATTTAACAAAAGCATATGACACCGTGCCTGTTGCGAAATTGTGGGAAGTATTGGAGAAAACCAGTATCAGCGTTTCACTAATCGACGCTATTAAAGATCTATATAACAACACAATATCAAAAGTTAAAATAGGAAATAAGGTTACTAATGGTTTTCAGGTAACAAAAGGACTGAAGCAAGGTTGTTGTTTATCTCCCATACTATTTAATATATATATATATATATATATATATATATATATATAATATATATTATATATATATATATATAATATATATATATATATATATATATATATATATCGACGAAGCACTCAGGCAATGGAAAAAGAAGTGTAAAGGGATGGGGCTGTCTATTGGGGATGAAACGTTATACACGCTGCATTATGCAGATGACCAGGTAGTTATTGCCCAAGACAAGGAAGACCTAGAGTATATGGCTAGAAAACTAATGGAAGAGTACAAAAAATGGGGCCTCGAAGTAAATTTACAAAAAACGCAATATCTTTGCATAGGAGGAGAAAATACTGCAGATGACCTCGACTTAGAAGACGGGAAAATTAAGAAATGCGATCAATGTATATATTTGGGGGTAAAACTAACAAAGACAGGAAGAACTGATGAAGCCATAAAAGACAGAATAACCAAAGGGAAACGAGTTATAGGTGCATTGAATTCAGTACTATGGCAGAAAAATATAAGACCGGAAACGAAAAAAAGAATATATAACACAATATTGAAACCAGTAATCGTGTATGGCTCAGAAGTATGGCAGTTATCACAAAAACTTAAAGGTAACCTCTTGGCAGTTGAAATGGATTTTTGGAGGAGAGCAGCGGGAAAGTCTCGATTAGAACATGTGAGAAATGAGGACATAAGAAATCAAATGAATGTACAAAGATCAATTATAGAAGACATCGAAAAACAACAACTGACATGGTACGGACATGTTAGACGTATGGGGGAAGAAAGACTACCAAAAAAAATATTAGAATGGGTACCACCAGAGAAAAGAAAACGAGGACGACCACCAACAACATGGATGCAAGGAATTTCAAAAGCCATGTCAGCAAGAAATCTATTTGAAGAAGACTGGCAGAATAGACAGGCTTGGCGAACGGGAACCCAAAGGCGGATTACGCTATAAACGGGATATATATATATATATATATATATAATATATACTATATAATATATATATATATATATAAATATTTATTTGTTATTATTTTACTACTAAGCTAAGACATAAA